AATAGTCAACATTTAGAGCCTCAGAGCAGGTCAGCAAGTTCTGTTTGCTTCCCCTTAGAGATGCCAGCATCGGTCCAAGTGCATTAGCGGTGGTTTTGTGTAGAAACCTGTAATAGTACCTATTGACATTGGACTGACTGTCAGTGGAAGCATGGGTTTTGGAAGCTTTCATTAGCATTAATTGCCTCTAATGCACCATCATTTTTGACAGTAATAAGCCAAACAGGGGGAGTTACTACTCTCAGCAGAAAGACCACATTTCCTGGTGCTGAAACATTTTGGGGGCTGTATATGGCATATAGTGCAAACAACAAAAGGAATGGTTTGCTCCTGTGTGAAGCGGGCCCAGCTGCATTACAGTGGCACACAGCCCCTTTCCTGTTTGAGACTGACCCCTACAGCACTTGTTTGAAGGAAGAGCTAACCATCAGGGACTCTACACCTAACTTTTAAAGCAAGCCCAAGAAAGCTAGGGTCTTGTTTGTACAGTTTGCTGTAAGAGAGTATTTTCAGAGTTTCATTTGTAGTGAGATTTTAGGAGCAAAATAGATTGTTTTAAGCTGTTCTCTATTCACTAACAACCCTGCAGTGTTTCTGTGCAGCAAAGGGAGCTTGTTATTGGCAGCCTTTTAAAACAGGAAAACAAACCAAAATTGCTCAAGTTCACTACAGTTTGCTCTGTGTACATTCCATGTGTCCGTATAGTATGAGAAGTGTCTGTATAGTCTGGGAATACTCGTGGTGGTTTCTCTAGACAGACATTCAGTGGGATCACAATGAGCAGACTTTGATGGCTATTCATGGTTAAGAAGCATGATGGCTTCATTATTGCTATGTTCTGGATACTCTGAAGAGCCTTGTACAATCCTTAAACATTCATTTATCTGTCTTCATCTGCTGAGAGTAAATTGATTATTTTGAATATATTTATTGGGTGATGCTTTTTTATTTTGAAATTTACCTTTTGACAATTATATATATGTATATAATGCATTCTATTACACTTACGGCCCCAACCTTTTATTCCCCTCCCATCTTTGTCAACTCTTCCCTACAAGTCCTCCTCCCACTTTGATGTCTTTTTGTTTTGTTTCTGTTTTTGCTTGTTTTGAGAGAGATACAACAGGAAGTTGAGTGGCTAAGGAGGTGGAGAGGATCTGGGAGGAGTTGGGAGAAGAAAAATATGATCAATTTTGGCAAATTTTTATTTTCAATTTAAAAGTAATGTACATAGAGCTGGGCAGTCAGTAGGGCATGCCTTTAATCTAGCACTTGGGAGGCAGAGGCAGGTGGATCTCTGCATTCGAGGCCAGCCTGGTCTACAGAGAGTGTTTCTGGAAATCCAGGACTACAAAGAGAAATCCTATGTTGGAAAAACAAAAACAAACAAACAAACAAAAAGACTGTATATGTCTTAGGTTGTCCAGATTATCCTAGTAGTTTAAAAACAGGAGTTAAATATACATGTATGTGGCTTTTTTCAAAGTACAGAAATATTATAATGAATATGAGTCTTCTCCCCTATCCTCTCAATTCAGTCCTTGGAGAAGACTATCATTAATAGTTTCTTGGGTGCTAAGAAAAAATAAAAGATGAGACTGGAGAGATGGCTCAGTGGTTAAGAGTGCCTGCTTCTCTTCCAGAGATCTGAGTTCAGTTCCTAGTACCCACATCAGATAGTTCACAGCTGCCTGTGACTCCATTTCCAGGGAATCTGATGACTCTGTCCTGTACGGACACCTGTATTCATGTGTACATACCCACACTCAGATGCATACACGTAATTTAAAATAATAAAAATAAAAATAAATCGTCTTGTTTGATTGGTTGGGTTTTTTGTTTTTATTTTTATTTTTTCGAGACAGGGTTTCTCTGCCACTAAATGGCTGTATATCCACAAATAGAGGTAATGTCCCACAGCTTCTGATAAATCTTTCATATTTAAAAGTTTTCTTAAGCAAAATAGAAAACTATTCAGCCAGATAAGTGAGGCTGCTGTCACAAAACAGTTTTTATTGACGCAGGATAGAAGACTGCTAAAAAGGATTGTTTTAATTTTTCCATTTTTGACCTTGATTTGTGGCTGTCATACCTTGATGTGGCATTTTGGAAAATGTTAAAGCTCTCCTTTCGTTATTTGAATGGGCCCCTAGCTATTGCTTGATCCTGACATTTAGATGAAACCATTGGATTTGCCTAGGATTTCTCTGAGTTACACTCAAAGCCTATCATATTTGAAAGGCTCACAGATATGTTTGCACATAAATGTGCCTTGGGTTTGCATAATTTACACATTCAAACTTAGATTTTTACTGGAAAATGTCCAATGAATAGACTTTTTAATGTGTTTTCTGTCTCTTTTGGATATTTACATTTATTTTTACCTAATTTTAAATTTCATTTCCTGGTTTAGCTAGCTCCTCTTTTTGGAAATGTTAATAAAGGAAGAGCCAGGACTGTTTGGCTTGCACTTAAAACAAATTCCAGATCTTTCTGACTTAAAACAACCAAGGTTTCTTCTTTGCCTTGGACAGGTGTCTTTAGTGAGTTAGTTGGACACCCTGCTTCATGTCATCCTTACTCAGGAAGCCTGCCTGAAGGAGCAAGGCTGGGTCTGGACATTGTGCATGTCCATGATTCTTAAGGCTTCCACAAAGAAATAATACAGTCCACTTCTGCTCACATTTCCTGGGTTAAAGCAAATCATGTGCCCCTCTGAGATTCCAAGGGTGACGAAAGCCAGTGTGCTGGCACATGCACAGGACAGTGTGGGGACCCCTTGATGAACAGTATGGAGAGCTACCGTGGCATCTTATATCTTCGTGGAAAGTATTACTCCTTGGCACAGATGAACTGTGGTAGGAGGCCAGAGGCTGATAGTGAGGAACCTCGGCGTGTGGATTGATTGCCTGAGCATGCATTTTCATGACCTCTTCAGTCTTTGATGTCCTCATCTGAAACAGCACTGCCTTCCTATTGTGCAGATTGGCTGTACAAAGCCAGTGCCTTTTGTTGAGTAAATACTAAGAAATCTTTGCTGTTGTTAGTACTTACTGGCATGAACTATTTAAATATTTATTTGTTTATTTTGGTTTTTTCGAGGCAGGGTTTCTCTCTGGTCTTGGAGGCTGTCCTGGAACTAGCTCTTGTAGACCAGGCTGGACTTGAACTCACAAAGATTCACCTGCCTCTGCCTCCTGAGTGCTGGGATTAAAGGGGTGCGCCACCAACGCCCGGCCAATTTAAATATTTAAACATCACTATGTAAGGAATTCTCGTTTGTTTGTTTGTTTGTTTGTTTGTTTATTTAATTGGTTTTTCCAAGACAGGGTCTTTCTGTGTAGCCCTGGCTGTCCTGGAGCTCACTCTATGGACCAGGCTGGTCTTGAACTTAGAGAGATCTGCCTGCCTTTGCCCCCTGAGTGCTGGGATTAAAGGTGTGCACCAGTACCACCCAGCCCCATATTTATTTTAAAGGACACATTTTAAAAGTTTTTTTTTTTTTTTAAATCCTTACTCCCTTCTTACTCCTTTTTAAATATATGCCAAAGCCAGAGAAGTGAAGAAGGGACAGTAGCAAGTCTTACCTTGTAGGGCTCAGGATGGGAGTAGTGAGAAATGCCACCTGGCCTGGTCGGTCCCTTTTACTGGGGTCTTGAAGGTTCCTGTCCTAGAATTCTTTTCCTGCCTTTATTCACTTTTAAGATAGGAACGTTTGAGGCAGGGGTATTGCTTAGTTGGTAGAGCACTGTATATTTTTGCACAAAACCGTTAGCTTCAGTCCACATAAAACCAAATGTGGTGGTACTCACTTCTACTTCAGTAATTTAGGAGGTGGGAGCAGAAGGGTCCCAAGTCATCCTTTGCTACACAGTTCAAGGCTAGCGCAGGCCACATGAGACTGTCTCAAAAAGAAAGGAAGGAAGAAGGAAATGTTGCTCTATGGATATGACTCCATGGTGATCCTTACCTCCAGTGCAGGAGATCCTGGATTCCATAACACACACACACACACACACACACACACACACACACACACACTAACTATACATTGGTGCTTTGAGTGAGGTCGTTCACCACACTTGGCCTCCAACTCACGAAGATCCACCTACCTCTGCCTCCTGAGTGCTGGGACTAAAGACGTGTGGATGTACATGGTAGCTCCTCACACACACACACACACACACACACACACACACACACACACACACTGGATGTACATGGTAGCTCCTCTCATGCCCACTGGTTGACTTGCTGACTGTCTTCTGTGTTTTGCTGTAGCTTAGAGTCAAGATCTCCACTGAAGTTGGCATTACAAATGTGGACCTTTCCACTGTGGATAAGGACCAGAGCATTGCACCTAAGACCACCCGGTAAGTGGGATGCCACCTAGGCACTGGGGACCCCAGAGCTGCAAAGAACAAAACTAGGCACTGTGTCCCTCCAGGTGGTATTTCTGTGGTGGCAGTGACCCCATCCTATCCCAAATGCAAGAGACTGCAGTTCCAGTGGTATTGCTCTGGGGATTGTGGTGGGCATGTAAGCAGATGGGATTGTTTGTGTGAGCCAACTCTTGTTACCTCAGGCTGTAAATTTTGAGTCCACTGTGCCATTCACATTACTTAGTTCAGATAACATTTGTTTCTAGTAAGGTAACATTCTCAAAGGAGGAAACAGTGGATTAATTTGTATTTTACAGCAATCTTATCAGAGTCCTGAATTAGCTTTTGGTATGACCTTATAGAAATTCTGGCCAGTGGTAGGTCTGAAACCACTTGGAAAGCCTCACCCTGAGACTCCTGTTTGTCTTCCCTTCCCACAGAAAGCACTGCTAATAAGCCATAGCACATGCTCCTCCTGAACCAAGGCACAGCTTCGGGTTTCTTTCCTTCCTTCCTTCCTTCCTTCCTTCCTTCCTTCCTTCCTTCCTTCCTTCCTTTCTTTCTCTCTTTCTTTCTTTTAATGCAACCTCCTAGATAATCATTAGCATTTTTTAACATAAAAATATGGAACACTTCATAAATTTGTGTGTCATCTTGCACAAGGGTCATGCTAATCTTCTGTCTGTATGGTGACAGGGTTTTAGTACATGTGGTGCTGAAGTGAGCACTAGTCATTAACATTTGATCAGAGTTGGCCAGGATGCCTGGTGAAGACCATTTGTCAGGATCACCTAGATCCCCATTTGAGAGGAGGAGTAGGAAGCAGCCTATATGTTGGGTATAGTTAGATCCCAGCTTCACTCTATAGAGTGGCTATAGAGGCAGGGGGATAAACCCCAAGCTATTTTGAAGGCAGGGAATGCTTTAAGTCAGACTCTCTTTTTTTTTTTTTTTTTTTTTTT